TATTTTTTGGTTGCAGTCATCATTGTTGTTTGGCGGGCCCAGGCTGGATTTGAACCCGCCACCTTAGGTATATGTGGCTGGTGCCTTAGCCACTTGAGCCACAGGTGCCGAGCCAGAACTTTCTATGTAAAGGCTTCCTATTTCCCACACTTAACCAGTGGCCTTGGCCCCCACATAACCATAACTTTTACCAATAAATCAACTTTTCTTTTTAGTATGTTGAGTGGTGAGATGCAGTGTGGATGGTGCCGGTGTTGGTGGGATGGAAAGAGGATCTTTGAATATGAATTAAGCAACCTGTTTCTCTTAGTCATGGAAAGTCTCTCTGGTAACTTGACCTTGGGCAATTCCATTGCACAGTAGTTGTGATCATCGAGTAAGACTCCTGAGTCCTGGCTCTGTCACATACTAACTGTGTAACTGTAGATAAATCTCATAAGTCATCTGTAACTGTTTCTCTTCCAGTCTTGTGCCAATTTCCCTTAGATCCATTTCATGCCCTTCCCTTGCAAACTGTATTTTCCAGGCCTTCTCCTAGTTACCTCTTCAAGATACCTAGTAAGAGGTGCTAGGGAAAATTTGAGGATGGGAGAAAGAGAGACAGGTATCCTTTTCCCTCTGCTCTGGATAGCGTCTCTAGCCATGGCTGTGTGTCTTTAGTTCTAGCTCTAGACAGCCCTTTTTCCTGACTCTTATAATGGCACAGCTTCTCTTTTTCTCTTCAGCCCTAAGGATGCTAGTGATTTCCTGTGTTGCTAATCTTTGGGTTGTCTGATCGCCTGTTTAGTTTTTCTTTTCTTTCAACCCTGTACTAGTTCCTATATTAAATTTGTTTCTTGTGCTGAAACTATCTGTCATGGGCTCTGTTTTTGGAATCTTCCCAGTACAGTTCTCTGATCTATAAAATGATACTCATAGTGCTTACCTCCTAATGTTATGCAAATTAAATAAGTTTGTATGTGTGTTGCTTTTTCTTTTTTCTCTCAGTCACCCAGACTGGAGTGCAGTAGTATGCTTACCATATCCTCCAACTCCTGGGCTCAAGCAGTCTTCCTGGCTTAGTCTCCCTAGTAGCTAGGACTACAGGTGGATACCATTATGCTGGGCTAATTCTTTTAATTTGCTATAGTGATGGGGGTGGTCTCCCTGTGTTGCCTAGGCTGTTCTCAAACCCTGACCTCAAGCAATCCTCTTACCTCAGCCTCCCAGAGTATTGGGATTAGAGGCATGAGCCACTGCATCCAGTCTAATTAAATATTTTAATGCATGCAAAGCATTTAGAACTGAGATCATCATGTAATATTTAATAAAAGGTAGCTGGGAGCTATGCTGAGTTCTTTTATCTTCATTGATAAAATTACAGTGTTACCATTTGTTTACCTTCAATAAATAGGAAGGCAAAGAGATACTGGTTATGAAGGCATTTGAAAAATAAAATATTTGTATATAGATATAAGAAGATATTACTTTTAGTGAAACTACCTCATGTGGGTTGATTAGGGTTTTACTTTGAAGAAGCTACAGTTTTGCTGGAAAGACAGAACAAGTTCATGGCAGACAGCAGGGTAGAATGGAAAGAGCAATAAACCTGGAGTCCGCTGGGCGCCTGTGGCTCAAGTGGCTAAGGCGCCAGCCATGTACACCTAAGGTGGCGGGTTCGAATCCCCAGCCCGGGCCCGCCAAACAACAATGATGGCTGCAACCAAAAAATGGCCGGG